CATTACAGCTGCCTCTTCCCTCTATACAGGGTAGGCAGTTGTGATCGTTTCCACAGGAAGAAGAAAGTTAATTCTTTCTATGCTGGCCTCCAGAGAAGGATTCAGACCATCTTACAAGGAGCTCTGATGAATTAATAAACCCCCTCAGTATTTACCACACTTGTCCAGAAACTGAGCTCAGCTGCAGCTCCTTAATTTTACAGATACCATCTCCAGAGTTTGAGAAGACTTGCCTAACCTGTGCCTGCAGTCAAACTGTGAGCAATTATTCTGACTTTCATTAACAAGATGATTCAGGATTTAGCAGCTGTGTGAGCTACACAAACATCAAGATGAACATTTAGAGCAATTGCTACTGCCAGTTGGAGCCATAACTGCTGCTTTGACATTCCTGCAGCTTAAGCAATGCAACTGTGAGCTGTACTTCAAATTAAACAAATAATAAACAAATAAATAGATGAATTAATATTTGTCTCATCAATTAGAAATTCAGAAAAGATGGACAAGTATGGAATCAGTCTGTTACTACAGGTTGGACCCAAGAGAGCCAAAAGGTCAGCACAGCAGGGAAGATGGATGAAAGCAGCCATGGCCATGGGAGAGCATGTGCAGGGAAATCAGGGGAAGTCCGATGGAGATCTGCATGTTTCAAAACATGGGGAAAATCTCCTCAGCAATTGCCATGAATGACAGTGATATGCAAGAGCCTGTGGGCTGATGATGCCCCCAGTGATTAAAGAGTGAAGTGAGGATCTCCGCACAGTAGCTTTGATGCTTGCTCAGTGCTGCTGTGCGGATGACAGATGCTCTAAAAGAGACTTGGTACTCCTGAAAAAAAATCAGACCACGCTCAATAAAAGAAGGCAAGAAAGGAGGTGAGAAAGCAAGAAGAAAATGATTTATCAAATTGCTTTCATACTCAGTTTAAGATCCACTCTTTGCTTTCAGAAACGCTATTCTTGTACCTCTTAAAAGAGTGTGAAAACTCTTTTTATGCTCACGTGGGTTATTGGAAATATATCAGCATTAGTTGATTTGTCAGCTAAGTATGCAGTATCTTCCACAAGTGCAAAGTGGTTGTGTTAATACTCTAACTGCTGCACTGCTATGGAAGCATATTCCTAAAAATCATGTTCTATACTGCTCCACCCCTTCCAGTAGCACAGCTGAATTACCTTCACCTGTGCTCCTGCAGCTGACTCATTGCTCACCTCAGGTGGTCAATCAGAGGCTCAGGTCGTGATCAACAGTTCCCATACATCTCACCATCCTGCAGTTAATATTCATGGAATGTAAACTACTATAAAATACACCTGAACTTCCATAGAAGCACCTTTACTTCTCACTGAGTTCTAGATGCTCCCATAGGGCATGTCAAGTTCCCAAAGACATGGACAGGAATTATGGAGGGGGGAGTTAGGCCTCAGCCTTGACTTCTATCTGTCACAGAGCAGTATCTCAGTAAGCTCACTAAATTCTGGGACTGAAAACCTTGTAACTTAGCCTTATACTTGGGTGATTTTGGCACCACTCCTCACATGGAAAAACAGTGAATTACGTGAAACAGTTGACAGGCAAACACTCACATGACAAACACACTAAACACCCTGTGAGATCTATTTGATCACGTCAATCCAGATCCATCTGTTTCTGCTGCTCTGGGTGCTCTGCCAGGCTGCTTAGCACGCAGATCACCTCTGGCACGAAGTCATGCTAGAAACACCCTCCTGCTGTTGCCTGGCACTCATTGTGTTGGCAGGGAAGGACATGCTCAAATCCTCTTTCATTGCAGGGATCTCCAGCAGCCATAATAGCTTTTTAAAGACACTGACAGGCAGCATAATTCAGACCAGTGCATAGAATGCCTTAAATTACACTGGAGGGGCAACATGGCAGTGTGCCAGGCAAGGAGAAGGCATTTCTGTGCTGGTTTGCTTGCTTCCTCTAAATGAGAGAATCCCTAACTACCACTTAGCTTATTCTCAAGCACCAGCCACACCACACAATCCTATTTCCCTGGTGGACAAGTCAACCCTAGGGATTAACGTCTTGCTTGCTAAAGACAGCCCACAAGAAGAGATGAGTTACATGAAGGCTGTACTTCATCTTCTGGGCGTGCCTTTGTAAGGCAAGATCCCTATTTACAGGTGGTTCTGCTACATTGACTTGTAATGTAGTAATGTTAGAACGCAATCAAAAGAACAGCAATAACAGTAGAATCGCACAATCCTAGACTATAGCAAATGAGAACAAGCTCACATGAAACACCTATAGACACAGAAACAAAGAAAGAAAAACTGCTTACCTTTGAAAGTTCACAGACACACAGGAACCTCCAACAAAATTCCCCCTCTTCCACTGCCAACCCTTAAATGAGGTCTGGGAAGGGGTGGATCGTGGGTGCACCCTTTCCAGTCACTCAAGGGCATTGCATGCACCTGAGCTCCCCTGGGTTGACCCTGTCTTCCCACTAGGTGCTCAATTACTGATTCAAGCCATGACTCAGCATTTCTGCTACACCACTTCAGCTGACCTTCTGAAATACGAAGTTCTGCAGATTACCCAATTTTGCCCTTCAGTTTCCCTTGAAATTCTAACTTGAAGTGCATCTTTCTGTTAGTATTGAAATCTGATGGACTTTCATCTTGGGATCTGCTGTTTGCCTTTGCAATCTGTGAAAGGTGGGAAGCTTTCCATGGTATTAAATATTACAGAAGGAAGCTTGTGAATTGCATGGCCAGCTGAAGAAATGTATATGATGGCCCTGAAAGAAGCTGGGCTCACCATGAGCAATTCCTGATCTCCAGTCACAGAGAAGGGAGCCTGAGCATCTTTATATTGCCATACTTTGAAGGCAGGGACATTTACAACAATCCACATATTGTATTCATAATGTAATATTATGGCATTTTCCTAAACTTTAGATAACCTTTATGTCACAGAATTAAGACTAAGACATTAATAGTGGTTCAAGGCCAAGATGTACATCTCAAAACACAAAGTTTGTACCATAGAATTTAACTCATGGCGAAGAAAAGGCAGTTATACTCTTAATTGATTCCCTTTAGTTATTGTCCACAAAACACTTCAGGAAACATTCACATGTTGAAAAGGAGATAGCTGGTATGATCCATAAGAAAACATCTGTAATTCTTGGAAATCATCTCCTGTCAGATTCAGTTAATTTAATGCCTGTGCTCACTGATCATTTCTGTAAAGGTCAAAAAATGAATGATCCAGTTGGTACATATTCCAAAGACACACAGCCCCAACTAATGTCTTTGTTCTTGTCCTAATTTGCAATTAGTTCAGGCAGTTGGAGGTTGATCTTTTTTTTCTGCTTTCAGACTCTAAACCACATTTAGATGTTTCTGTTATCTTCAGAGAACTACTGGGATTAAGTTCTCACATGTGTTGAAGCTCCATACAGTGTAAGTGCCAGAGGAACTGAAGATGGATTGAGTTGCCTTACTTAGCAGATTCTGGGGCCAGTAGCTCTTACCTACACTGAATTTTTTTAAATAAAATCATTTAAAAAAAAAAAAAAAAAAAAAGGTAAAACAGACTGAAATTACACCTTTCAGCTCCTTATCTATTGCCTCTACATGTCACGTGGAGCGAGCTAGATAAACCAACTTTCCTTCAGTAGTAGAGACTGCCCACGACTGGGGACTTTGTTGGATCCAGAGCACTTTTAAAAGTCCTTTGATGCTGCTCCGCTGGTCCAGGGCACCTTTGCCATGACTCCTTTCCATAGGACCATAACTGAAGTTGTATACACATAATATATCACCAAGAAAAAGCTGCAAAACATCTGCAATTATCCTTCCACGTGCACTTATTTCATTTTTCTCCTTGAATGAAGCTGAAGTGTCTGCAGTATTTCAGATGTCAGCCATGTTTATACTGCTGAAGGATTTGGCATCTGTCACAAGTTAAATAACAAATGTCATCGCTCCCCGAGCAAAGGCTTTACTACTGTTTACTGGATAGAGATGTGGCTAAGTCAGCCCAAGAATCCATCACAATACTCAGAATTATGATAAATATTCTCATCCATCATGATGTTGGCCAGTGTTTCCTGCTACCATTTGTCAGACTGTAGTTTTGTTTTCACTTTTCTTTTGATTATATTTCCAGGCAAAGGAAGAGAATTATTACACCACGGCTAAATATGAAGTTGTATCTCAGATAACATTTCAATTGGGTGCAAATTCAAAGGGGTTTTTCCTCAGTCTGGATTAACGAAGGGGATTAAGATGTAATTTCCCAAATAGGAGGTTGTTCATAATCCTCTCAAAGTTTCTATCCTCTACCTATTAAAAGCTTTAAGGAAAAGTTCTGCAGAGAGCTCGTACAGAGCCCAGTGAAGTTGTTTTTCTTGGTAGTTGTAGTTGTCATGGAAAGCATGTATTGTAATACATAAGAATGTCCTTCACGTTACATATCTCTTTTATGAAGTCTGAAATTCTGTGTGGCTGACACAGGGCTGCAAAAAGGCTGCAGCCTGTGCAGCAACCTTCGTTAGCAGATGGGGAATGTGTCATTTGTGGTTCATGGCGTGGAACTAAGGAACAGTAAGATCTGGGCTGTGTACCCTCCACCCCCAAGAACAGGATCTTAAATGGACGGAATTAAAGCTGTTTGGCTTCACAGCACACTCCCACACTTTGAAATGTTTGCATTTGCATTTAGGTCTAATGCTGCACGCGCAGCTTTGCAGCGTATCATTTCCAGATGAATCTCCCCCTCACATCGCGCAGCACGCGCTCCCAACAGCAGGTCCCCGCGCTGGAGTCGCACAGTACTTCAGCCCTCTGCATTTCTTTATCGGTCTTAAAATTTGCTTTTACTTGGGACACGAGCACATCGGCGAGGCGCCCCCAGGCCCAGCAGCAGCTTCTTGCGGGCACCGCTTCTTTCCCGCGCGCACCCCCCAGCGCATAGCTCCGCTCCGCTCCGCTCCCCTCCTCGGGCCGCCGCGTCAGCCCGCCCCCTCAGCAGCAGAGCCGCAAATGGCGCCCGCGCGGCGAGCGACGGCCGCGCAAAGCCCCCGCGAGAGCTGGCGGCGGGAGGCGGGCCGGGCGGCGGGGCGTGCCCCGGATGCACGGCCTTGCGGCGCGGCCCCAGTTCCTGCCTGTGCCCTCAGCCCGGCGGGGCTCGCCCTGCGCAACATGTCGCTGGTGGCGGAGGCCTTCATGAACCAGCTGGCCGGTGAGGGGCGGGCGGGCGGCCGGTGGGGCGGGTGTCGGCCCGGGGTGGCCGCTGGTGATCGCGGGTGCGTTCGGCCCCGCCTGGAGGGGCGCCGGGGACAGCCGCCCGCGGGCCGCGGCGGACCCCGTCCCCCGCCACAGCCTGCGATATCTCGCTGGGCGCCGAGGTCCCGGTGCTCTTGCTGCGGCCGGAGCCTGCGTGACCTCTCCGAGGCTCGGGAGCGCCCGAAGGAGAGCCGGCCGACCGGCCGGCTATCCAAGGACTGCAAGGGAAGCCGGCTGTCCGCAGCTCCGTGCAGAGCCCTGCTCCGCACGCACTTGTCCCGCTGGGCGGCCGCCACGGCACCTCGCCAGGTTCCCGCTGCCATGGCGCAGCGCACACCTGCGGGCGGCCATCACGGCCGCTGCTCACTTAACGAGCCTGCAGCTCCCAGCTGTGCTAGGCGGCACCTTCATTTTGATTTCATAACGTTCCTTCACAAGTGCTGCGTTTCTTGTGTTGCTGTTGCGAAGCTAAGAAGTACAGCAATACATAATTTGCTCTTATGATTTGCCCCAGCTGGGCCACACGCACCAAATGTGAGCCTTGTCATAAATGAAGGTGATGTGCATAACCGACACTTTTTATCAGAAGTGCTCTCAAGGAACAAACATGCACCTCAGCTAGCTTCTGGCTGAGGAGTTCAGAAAGCGCTCAGTGTATTGGTCACATTCTTCTGTTGCCTCTGTCCTTATTTCTTCCTGCTACATGAGCCCATAAGGAGCAAATACTGCAAGGAGATGGCATTACTATTTCTGCCAAGCTGTTTGGGAAGAAGCCAGTGTTTGTCCCAAACGCTGGGCCTACAGAGGCTCTAATGTAGGATCCCCAGTTCAGTTTTGAGAGCATGCTTGCTTGTGGCCGGTATGATAAGGGAAACCCAGATGGCTCAAAATTGGGTACCCATAGGCATCCTTAAAGTTGTGCTAGGCTCTTGGGTTGGGACTTGTTGATTCACAGATGTTAGCTCTGGGAGCAGTTACATTTTAAGAGCCAGAAACCTCAGGACATGATGGGTATTATGGTATGTCAGCATCACTCCATGCCATTTACTACTGTGATCTCCTTAATACTTTTCATTCACTTACACTGTGAAACAAGTATAATCACAAATGTGAGTAGGAGTTGATTCTGTTGTGTTTGTCTGCTGTGGCCTTTATGAATATCTTAGAACAGGTACTTTCTTACTAGAATTACAGATAGGGACTCAAAGCTGTATTGCATGTTGGCATGTGCATAGTGCAAGAAAAAACATGTATTTTAAACTCTATAAGCAAGAAATACTGCAATGTCTGGTTCCTTCCATTCTTTCCTTTCTGAGTTGTTCTTCCTCTGTTTCTGGGCAGATTCTTGCCTCCCCTTTGGGTTGGTTGCTTTTGCTAGCCTCAGAGTATTGTGATGACAGTTATGCTATGAATGTGGGTCTCTGAGAGCATCAGTAGTGTTCATATGCTTCCTTCCTAAATTTTAGTAAGCATAGAGCCTCATCTTTCACCTGTCAGATGCAGGTTAAGCAATGCTAGTTTTTTTGTTTTTAGGTAATACAGCATGCAGGTATGTAATACAAAATTGCTGCAAATGCTCCTATATTTTTACTGAGCAGAAGTGCTCAGTGCTTACTTCATTGATCTGCTGGATGTGCAGCAGCTTACCTTGATCGAAGGTACAGTACAAATCCTTGCTGTGGACCTGTCCACTTGTAACTCAATGATGCAATGGAAAACACAGCAGTAAGAGTGGGTGGCAGAGTCCTATGCTGCAGCCAGTGAAGATAAGCCCAAATTCAGCAACTATGGATGCAAAAACAAAGGAAAAACAGCCTGCTTAGCTTTGAAAATCCTCAGGTAGACAGGGATCTCCAGCAAGATACCCTTGCCTCCACTACCAACCCTTAAATGAGGTCTGGGAAGGGCTGTATCCTTGGCTGCACCTCTTCCAGTTACTCAGAGGCATTGCATACACCTGAGCTCCCCTAGGTTGGTCCTGCCTTCCCAACAGGTGCGCAATCACTGGTCCAGGCTGTGACTTAGCATTTCTGCTACGCTCCACCTCTTCATGGTGTGAGCCAGTGATTGAGCAGGTTAAAAAGTAAGCCCTTTCCATTATGATGATCAGGTAGACCTTCACACTTTGTTGAATTTGCCTGTCAGAGTGTCAGTTAACAAAATTCAAGACAATTGATGATTGGTTCATGGTTGAAGTTCATATTCTTTTGTGGGCCAATACTCAGTGAGTCTCCATGAGGCACACAGTTGCTTGGACCAGGGAGGGTTCAGCTCATATTTCATCAGTTGCATATACTCCTCCACTGGGTCATGGTGATCTTATAGTGTCATTAGAGCATTTTGATGGCATGTTGCTCCTCCCAGTGATCGTGTAGACCCAAAGAGACTCACAGGAAGTAGTATAGATGTTTCAGAGGTACCAGAAAGAATGGGTCTGCCCTCTACAGCAAGATATGGGCCATGTTCCTGTTCTGGGTCAGTACTTCAGCTTGCACTGGGGCATGTCCTGTCTGTCTGTGCCCTACCCTTTGGCTTGATATCTGAGACTGCACAACTATATTGGGTAGCAAAAGGGGGGCAGCTGATTTGCCACAGGGACATGATTAAGGTCCCCTTAGCAATTAAAACTAGAATGTTGACTACAGTATCTGCATGCCATACACCCATTACTGGGGGGACTACCAATCCCCTAGCCTCCAGTAATCTCCCCCAAAGTACAGGTAGGCCACACCACTATGGAAGGTGCAAGTAGTTCCAAGGTCATTCTGTTTTACAAATACCTGGTTTTAGGTTTTCAGGGGCAGGGAGCAGAAGATTACTTTTACTGCTCATTTGGGATTTTACCTGGTTATCACAGTGCCTGTTACTTGGATCCTTGGAACAAGCCCAAATGCAGCAGCTGCAGACACAGAAACAAAGGAAGAAAAACTGCTTACCTTTGGAAGGCCACAAGTAGGCAGGGATATCTAGCAAGAAACCTTCACCTCCACTGCCAGCCCTTAAATGAGATCTGGGAAGGGATGGATCCTGGCTCCACCCCTTCCAGTTAGTCAGAGGCATTGCATACACCTGAGCTCTCTGGGTGCTCAATCCCACCAGGTGCTCAATCACTGGTTCAAGCCCCGACTGAGCATTTCCACTACACCACTGAATCATTTTAAAAACAAAATTATGACCTTGCCTTTGCTTTCCAAAAGCAGATCAGTGTCAAAAGCAGCTATCTGCCTTGAAAATAATAAATACCTTTGCCAGTGGGTCGTGGCCTTCTGGCTCTTCTGTATTATGTATCACTCCAAGACTGAAATTAAATAAGGGAAAAATTGCTCAATTTGTTCATATTGGAAAATTTTTCTAGAAGTTATCCAGGATCTTGGCCAATACCCCCCACCTGTAGGTTTGCTGAGACCTTGCATAGACACAGGGAATATTTTATTCTGGTACTCTGAAGGTTTAAATGTCTCACTGGTATTTTTGAGGATGAAAAATGGTGTATCTGAAAGGAAAAACATACATAACAATGGCTGTTCTAATAGCCTTCTCCTCCTACACGTGGTTGTGAATACTATACTATGTTACGCATAAGTGGAATGATAAGGTTGATTGAGAGGGAAAAAACAAACAAACAAAAAAAACCCAACCCCCAAACTGTGAATCTGATTTTACATTGGCGCAGGTTGCTCAGAGCAGTTTTGGAATCTGTGTCCCTGGGGATGCTCAGAACCCAGCTGGTGACAGCCCTGGGCAACATGCTTCCAGCTCCAGCACCTCCAGCTCAGCCTCTCTGTGCTTCTCACTGGCTCAGCCTGTTGGCACATCTGCAGAGGCTCAGCAGTCTGTGCAACGTGTGTGCATGTCAGCGTGCTGAGCATGACCTGCTGCTGTCATGCCTTAGTGATGCACTATGCACTGATGACTTTATCTCTTGCGTGGAGTCAGATGCTTGGTTTAGTGACGTTTAAGCGTTCACTTGTTCAGGAATGTAGAGAGACTGATGCTGTGTCTCAGGGAATAATAAATACTTCCATAGTTCTGTGAATTGCAAGCATGTTATACTGCAGTTTGAATAATCAGTTTCTGAACTGTTGCAAATATTAATTGGATGTATGGTAGGGAATTTGTTTAGAGTAGCTTAGCATCAATCACATTTTAACAGGGTAGGAAATGGGTATTTATGCTATAAGAAGAATTAGAGTGCCAGCTTTCAAGTGGTGCAGAATATTAAACTCTGACTGTGGTAGTTTGGAGAAGTTGGCTGCTCAAGTCACCCTGAAGAGATTATTGAAATGTTGTTCAGTTGTCACTGAATTACTCAATATGCTTAGCATGTTTTTCCCCCACACGTTAGTTTCAGATCAGCAATCAAAAAGAGAGAAAATAATATCCTTGTTTGTCCTTTGATCTCTGGAAAATTACTTCTGTTTATTGCAGCTGAGTTATGTCTAGAGGTCTTTGGCCAGTTTTAGTGCTGAGGGAAATGAATGCGGTTTGAAAAACAGATGCCCTTCTGCCTTTAGATATTTTACATTCTCACTGAGTCTACCTGCAATGTTACATGCCAGAGCAAAAGTAAATTTCTTCTGTGCACGTTTTATGTATTAAGGCAAGCTTCAGTTTGGCTGAGAGAAAACATCTAGAGTGAAAACTGCCTGCCTTCATTGCTCCTGCATACAGAAGCATGAAATGTAAGCTGGGCATGCATTTTGTACACTAGAATGTGCGTGTGTGAATGTGAACAGTTTGTGCCATTATACAGTGAAAAAAATAGTTTCCTGTTTTTACTTGATACTGACAGTCCAGTATTTCAGCCTGCTGCTGAAATGCTTGTAGTTGAGGGATGGTTTGTAAATACTGAATTTGTCAGGCTGTTTTGGTTTTGTGTTGGGATGTACTTCAGGCTGGGGACACGGACGTGGGCTTTTTTGTTTTCTTTTGGAGGGGGAGGTAATCCAACCTAAG